TCAAGAACTCGAGGTCACAGTGCTTGAGGATTTGCTTGGACCAGCAAGGCCTCGGCTGCTCATTGCCTCTGCTTTCCCTCTCAGCACGGGGGTACTGTGGCCCATTCAGGGGGCTCCCGTGCCCACTCGTTACCTGCATGCCTTAACCTTTTGATGCTGCAGTGTGGCCTGGGATGTTCCTGGGCAAGGTCCTCCACATATCTCCCTTCATTCAGAGTAGCTGCTGGCCCAAGCAGCTTTGATGTGCTGTTGCCCCACTCAGCCTCCAGAAAGAGACTGAAGGAATAGCTAACAGGCTAGAGTTAGGGACATTTAGCCAGAGGCTAATTTTCTCTCTCTTTTTTTTTTTTCAAGCCAAAGACCTAGCTTCAATTCTGCTGCTGTGTTTGTGGTTATAAGCTGTCCATACCTAGGTTCTGGGAAATTTATCTATGCTTGTATATTTTTAAACATTTGTCTCCTGGGTACCGGGCATGTGCCTGTCTGAGCCCCAGGCCTGTCTGTCCATACCCCACAGTTCACTCTGTTTGTCTCTCCCTGGGCATCTCCTGAGATGAGACAGTGCCCTATTGGATTCTAGGACTGTGGCCCATCACTGTTCCCCTCTGCCAGGAAATGCAGTTTAAAAATGGCTGTAGATGGCGGGGCAGGTAGCTTGATAGATGAACTTTTGTTTTTGTTTTTGTTTTCTTACTTGTTTATGTTTTGGAAATGATCATTTAAACTCTCTTTTCCAAATAAAGGTTTACCTTTTCCCCCTACTGTTGGTCATTCTGTTAGGATCCTGAAGGGCATAGGGGAGAGAAGGCCTGGAGAACGAGGTGGGCAGAGAGGAAGACACCAATCCTGGGATGGGATTTTAAGTCCTAAAACTAGACCAGAAAACGGTGTTGGAATCTCCCTCTGATCACTGAGACAAGTTCCCACTGCTCTGAGGCCTGTGGGGAAATAGGGCTTGAGCGAAGCCGCCTGCCCTGACTTTTGTTGGGGCTGTAGCCCTCTATCCATGCCAAGCTGGAGAACAGCTTTCTGCTGTTTTCATTCTTGTTCTAGCTGCTGCTCCCGCACCTCTCCAGCCTCTGACCTGCCACCCCCCCTCCCAAGTCCACACTGCATTTCAGGAGGGTCTGTGCAGAAAGTGGGATGAGAAGTGTTTTCCTGGTCAAAGCTATGGCAGCTCCATGAGGCATGATGTATGTGGCAGATGCCTCTTGCTGAGCATCTATTTCTGATCATCTCTTTTGCATTCTGGAGCCAGGGCTGAGCCGTGGGCCATCTGTTGCTAGAAAGGTTTCTTTTCCCTCCCAGGCCTCATTCTGCTAGTACTTTTGTCTTCTTCCAGCTTCCTTAAGCGGTAAGTCCACCAAGCCCATATGCCCACGGGAAGCCCTGCAACCAGGGGTGGTTTTCTGCCTTAACAGAGCAGAATCCCAGACCCACACCTCTGAGTCAGTCTCCAAGAACCTGAGTTGTTTAAAGCTACCTGGGTGCTTCTTTTGAACCACCTCGGCTGGGATTCAGCGGAAGGAAAGCAGCCTAGGATTAGGAATACCGCTCGCCATTTGTAAATTTCCAATTTACAAATGGAAATTAAAGTAAAAATTTTTTCCATTTGTAAGGAATTTTCAGATCTGAAATTGCATTGTTTCTGCTTTGGCAAGCAAAGGATGCTAAAAATTCCAGAGTTATCAGTGGCCGTTGGTGGGTAGTTCTCCCCAGCTAGGCTGAGTGATTGGCCTATGAGCTGGGAATAATTTTTATAGCTCCTAAGCTTTGAGGTGTATCCTCAGAGGCCCCTTTCCTGGCCTGGAGGTTTTCCCCCCTGGTCGCCTGGGTCACGTTAACATTCGCACAGCACTCTGTCAACAATTTACACAGTGCTTCCACTTCCGTTATGCAGACATAGCACTGCGATGTGACAGTTCAGGTGTTCGTATATTACCTTTACATCTGAGGAAACAAATCCTAAAGAGGTAGAGCTCCTCTGCTTTACATCTTGCCACCCCAAGCTCCTCAGAACATAGCCTTTCTAGGAGTAGGGGAGGCAGACACATGGGAGTGGGCCTGGGAGAAGGGAAATGACCAACTAGAATGCTGCTGGTGTGTTTCTGTTTTTGAATGAACTTTTTCTCTCTAGTTCTTGCCCTGGTGTAGCTACTAACTAGAGGATTGTTTTTTGATTGGTTACATAATGCAAAGTATGGCTTCTCTTCTCCCAGGAGTAGGAGGGGCCCACCTCCTCCAGTTTCCACCTGGAAGAGAGAGCTGACCTTACACTTTCAGACTCAGACTCATCCAAGTGCATCTGCTGTCTGTCTCCCCTCCTGAGCTAATGGTTTGGGTGC